AATTTAACTTACAGTGCTAAATAACAGAATGAGTCAGAAATCAAGCTGGAGCATGCCCAGATGACAAATCCCTTTCTAGAATGTTTACTTTTTGAAAGAGTATAAGATGTGGATTGCACAATGGGGAAGGTTTAATGATCAGTCTAAATGTTCTTCCTTATCTAGTGGCCAGGCTATAGAAGGCCATAGGGTAGTATTTCACCCTGGTTCACACTATGTGGGATGTTTGCAGGCGCAGAAATCGCATCTGTTCCCGCACCTGCACCCGAAACCACCCGCAGCCAAATCGCACGGCCCCTATGAGATGCGCGGGGCATTCATTTTGAATGGCATCACCATGCATCTCAGCCTGCAGCGCGATTGTAGATGCGGGAACCGCAGGAAAACTGCATGGTCAAAAAGACCATGCAGTCTCCTTGCGGATGTATTTTCAAAAAGGTGCATGCGCATATTTATGTGGGAAACGCAGGAACAGCAGCCCATTAAAATGAATAGTTTTCCCTGCTCAAGCAGATGCGGGCCACATAGCCCGCAGTAGCATGAACCAAGCCTTCTAGATATTTACATTTATTTAAAAAGATTAAACATTTTTTTTTTTTTTTTTTTTAAAGAACCCCATTTTTTCAGGTTTTCTTGAAATGTACAGTTTTTTTGTCCCAGTGTTTTCTGAAATTAAATCATAGAACAAGTTAAAAATAGGATATAAAAAGTAATCATTTTAACAAAATTTCATCTACATTTTTGACTGATCAAAGTATTTATTTATTACAGGTACTTATATAGCGCCGTCAATTTACACAGCACTTTACATATATATTGTACAGTCACATCAGTCCCTAACCCTCAAGGGGTGTACAATCTAAGGTCCCTAACTTACATTCACACATACACATAATAGGGCCAATTTAGACAGGAGCCAGATAACCTACCAGCATGTCTTTGGAGTTTAACTACCTTTTACAGATATAGCCAATCACATGTTGATTTTCAGAAATGTGTCTTCTTCTGCTTTGGGTCTATTGACCTATGCTTACCAGAGTTTCCTCCAGTTTCCCTGCACCTTTTGATGGCATAGAAAACTGTACTCACTGACAGCATGGCTTTCTTCACATTTTGTCTAAAGTCAAGGCCTACAACATTAAAGTGTATCTCTGGTCAAAATGTAAAATCATATATTAATTTCCACGTTGTATTTAAATTGTTTCCATATGAAAATAAAAGGAATATAAAATAATTTCTAGCCTACTCATTATTCTGAATGATCTTGAAGTTTGTAAAATTACTTGATGATTCCCACACGTTTACTTCCTTGAATTCTATGACATGTATTCACTATGCCCTGTGATTAGGCACTGCTGTGTCACACATTTCACAGAGCCTGCCTTCTGAACTACATAGGTGCTGAGAGGAGGAGTTTCAGGAGGCGGAGTCAGTACAGGAATCACTGCTTGCAGACAGCAAGGTACCATGGGATATGTAGTCCTTAGAAATGGAAAGTAAACAGCAGAGGAGAAGCTGCAAAGCATGCAGGGAATCCAGGAAGTTGTGGAAAGAGATGGTCAGGTAGGCAGCACTCACAACACAAAAAGAGATTTTTCAAGTAAGCATATTGGATTGTCAAACATAACTATTGTTTGAATTGTTTTTACAATGCTGAGGATATAAAATGAAAGTGTATGTTGTGACCATAGATCTACTTTAACCATTTCAATACCGGGCAATTTTACCCCCTTCCTGCCAGGCCATTTTTCACGTTTCAGCGCTCTCACACTTTGAATGACAATTACGCGGTCATACAACATTGTACCCAAACTAAAATTTTATCATTTTCTTCACACAACTAGAGCTTTCTTTTGGTGGTATTTAATCACTGCTGGGGTTTTTATTTTTTGCTAAATTAACAAAAAAAAGACCAAAAATTTTGAAAACAAACATGTTTTTCTTTGTTTCTGTTATAAAAGTTTGCAAATAAATAAGTGTTCTTCATAAATTTAGGCCAAGATGTATTCTGCTACATGTCTTTGGTGAAAATAACCCAAATTAGGATGTATTATTTAGTTTGTAGGAAAGTTATAGAGTTCACAAACTATGGTATAGATCTGAAAATTGATCAATCCTGAAGTACTGGCAGCCAATCTAATTTCTTGAGGTCCAAGAATGTCAGAACAGTACAGATATCCCCCAAATGACCCCTTTTTGCAAAGTAGACAGTCCGACGTACTTCATAAGAGGCATGGCGCGTTTTTTGAAGTTGAATTTTTTTTGTCATAATTTTTCGGAAAATTAAAAAATTAAAAAAAATTATTTTCACTATTTTTGTTTTACATACTGTCACCAGTGCAGTACAGCATCATCATATAACTGGCATGGCGGTGAACAGGGACACTGACTGGTGACAGTATGAAAAAAAAAAAAACCAAAGTAGTACAATGTTACCATAGTAGGGGAAGTGATCAGTATTTTTCTTTTTTTACACAATTTGCTTATAGCAAAGAATTACTTTGCTATAAGCAAGCATTTACCAGAATAAAATCGATTCATTCAGGTTTTTTTTTTAAATTACAACTTCAAAAAACTCACCATGCCTCTTACAAAATACCGCAGACTGTCGACTTTCCAAAAATGGGTCATTTGGGGGATATTTGTACTGTCCTGACATTTTTGGACCTCAAAAAAATAAGAATAAGACTGTCACTACAACAGGATTGATCGATTTTCAGATCTATACCAGTTTGTGGACTCTATAACTTTCCTACCAACTAAATAATAAACACCGATTTGGGTTATTTTTCACCAGAGAAATGGCCAAAATGTTTGAGGAAAGACTTTACTTGCAAAATTTTATAGCAAAAAAACTAAGAAAAATGGCACACATTATATACCAAAAGGCCACAGGTTGGGCATCAGGGCCATAGTGTGTCACTACTCTGTGTCCTGGGCTTTTCAGGCAGTTATGTAATTTGGTATACTAATCCAGTCAGCTTTGTCATGTGTTAACCACTTGCCCTCCGGAGGATTTACCCCCCTTCCTGACCAGGCCATATTTTGCGATATGGCACTGCGTTTTTTTAACTGACATTGCGGTCATGCAATGCTGCACCCAAATTAAATTTATGTCCTTTTTTCCCCACAAATGATTTTCGGTGGTATTTGCGTTTTTTGCGCTATAAACAAGACTGACAGTTAAAGCAGAACAGAACCCATTGATTTAACATTTTCCCAAAACCATTACATTCAGGGCATGCCATGAATGATAACTGCCACAGTTGCTTGTGCTCTCAACTGAACTGTCAAGCCATCATATGGTTGGTGCATTATCTGATCATGTGCAGCACCATGGCGACTGCAGATTAAACAAAGGCTAAGATGGCAGCATCCAGCTTTCAATGAAGAAAAATGCTTTTTTTTTTTCAAAATTTTCAGTCTTTTTGTAGTTTACATAGCAAAAAACAATATACCCCCAAAAGAAAACTCTATTTCATATGGGTACAGTGTTGCATGACTGCGCAATTGTCATACAAAGTGCAACAGCGCTGAAAACTAAAAATTGGCCTGGGCAGGAAGGGGGTGAAAGTGCCCGGTATTGACGTGGTCTAGGGTTAAAATGATCTGTCTCCCTTTATCAATTGCTTTTTTTTCTCACCATTATGAGAGCTATTGTGAGAACTGCTTCCTGCAGGGTAATACTGAACAAAAAATGCTGCATAACTCTGAAATTTATATTGTTTTTTAATTTTTGGTATGCAAACTTTTTTACGTAATTTGGTACACTAATCCAATCAGCTTTGACATGTGTTGAAGCAGAACAAAACCCATTGATTTCCCAAAACAGTTACATTCAGGGCATACCGTGAATGATAGTTGTCACAGTGGCTTGTGCTCTCAACTGAACTGTCAAGCCATCAAATGGTTGGTGCATTATCTGATACATGTGCAGCAACATGGCAACTGCAGATTAAACAAAGGCTAAGATGGCAGCTTCCTTGGCTGTAAAGGTTGGGTTGCACAGGTATCAACTACGGCCCTCCAGCTGTTGAGGAACTACAATTCCCATCATGCCTCTGCCTTTGGGAGTCATGCCAAACTGTATTGTAACTGTAATCCTTGCAATGCCTCATGGGATTTGTAGTTCCACAACAGCTGGAGGGCCACAGTTGGACACCCCTGCGAGAAATAAAAGGATTACCTGTTTAGTGTGATTGCTGTAGTCGGTTTTGATGGGCAGTCATGTCTGGCTACTATTACAATCTGTTAACAAAATCTTCCAATTTATTCCCTTTTTTTATACGAGTTCATGGAAATTTCAGGAAAGGATGTCATATCAGCTCAGAGGCACCTTTACATTTCTATACAGATCCAACGCATTAGATTTTGTAGTGTGAATAAAGGTTAAATAAAACGAACCGTTGTCATTGTCGTTTCCCTGTAGTGAACAAATATAATATGATGTTTGCCTTAGTAGGGTGTGCGTCAGAATATAACACAGAAAGTCAATATTTAGACTGTGTCAGCCAAGCACTGCAATAATAAAATACTTAAAGTGATACTAAACCCCGGACCCGGCATTCACTATATCTGGTCTCCCACAGTACACAGAACATGGAAGTGCAATTATTTTAGTAAATATAAACTGCTAAATACCTTTTCTCATCAGCAGTTAGAGCAGTCTTGTGACTTCTATCAGTGTCCAGCCCAGCACTAGCTAAAGCTTGTAGTAGGAGTTTTCTTTATTCTCTAGGAGGATGCAGAACCCCTGACCCTCTGTATGGACAGTGGCGATTGGCACTGTGCTAATCACATGCACTCTCCCAAGAAAAAAAAAAACCCTCTCTAGCAATACGCTGAGCATGTGCATGTGACCACGGGTTCAGTCTGTATCAGGTGGTCATTTCAACAAGAGGGGCAGAGAAGACAGGATCAAACGTTTTCACACAATGCAGAGGATTAACCCCTTAGATTACACAGTGAGTATAACAAGCATGCTTTACTGCATACACAGACCAGGGGTGGACTGACAACTCATGGGGCCCCCGGGCAATAGGGGATCATGGGGTCCCTGTGTCCCAGCCCACACTCAAAGCATACCCAAAAAAAGCCTATAAAAGGTACCAGGGGCATTTCATGGGGCCCTCTACTGACCCCGGCCCTCAGGCAGTGCCCGAGTGCTCGAATGGTCAGTCCGCCCCTGATACAGACTGATTTTACTGTTGTGGGTTTAGTAACACTTTAAATTTCACGTTTATTCTGTTTATATTGTGACCTCCCTGGTTCCTTCTCCCCCCCCCATATTAACATCTTGATGATTTTTTAAAAATAAAACCTGTTTTCTTTTCATACCTTATTTAGAATCACCGATGTAATCACTGGGTCTCTGTACCACGCTATGCAGGCAGATCATGGCTGGTGGGAGGGCCAGCAGAATGTTGTACATAGCTTCCAGAAAACATTACAGCCCCATGCCTTAGGGTCCTTTCACATGGGAAGAACGCATTTAGCAGATCCGCTTACTGAGCAGGGGATCTCTCCGCTGATCCCCACTGAGCAAGCGAATGACAGGTATGTGTCCGCTCCACCGCTGCAGAGCAGACACAAAGCTGCTTGCTCTCCTCAATGAGCGGTCGGATGAAAATTGACTCCCTGACTGTTTCATCCGCTCCAATACGACGGATGAAAAGGGAATTGGATCCCCATCTGTCCTTTTTTGGCGGATCGGATGTCGGCAGGTGTAAACGGATAGGTGATGGCTAACTGGGGTATTTACCTAAATGTCTAATATGTGCATTCAGTGCTGAGTGAACTATTGGCGCTTTATAAATACTGTATAATAATAATAATAAAATTCTATGTAATAAACCATAATTTTTGAGAAATATTTGGGTATTGCTTTCTGTCCATGATGTAACTGCTGTTCTTGTGAATTTCTTTTTCACACCCCCCTCTATTGATGTCCATTTACTCCTGCCACTCCATAGAGGGAGAATGGAAGTTCTGATTGAGTCCACCTGAAAAACTGGCAGGTGGATGTCTGTGTGAAAGAGCCCTTAGTGCTTCTCTTAAGAGCCCTCAGCCCTGGTGCAAGCAATGAACTGGCTCCTGGGAGGAGGTATGTACATATCACATTGCCTCAGGTGGATGTTATTCTGGAGGGGTGGCTGCTCCTAGCCAGGTTGTATTTACATGCAGAGCACCCTAGGTAATGCTGAGATGTGATGCTGAGCCTCCATGATTAAAGAACTGCAATCCATTAAATGAAAGGTTGAGGAGGAAAGAGCTAGAAGATGCTGGATGTCCTCCAGCCAGGAAATGAAGAGGGGGTTCTATCTAATCTTTTGCAGCTTGTAATTCACACTGTGAGAAGCTCACAGTGTGCTGGTTGAACAGAAAAAAATGAATAATGTATGGCCTGCCTTATCCCTTTGAGGACCATAAGATTTCGAAACGCCAAAAGAATCAATTTTTTTTGTTTTTAAAATTCGTACACTTCAGTTGCTGTAACTAAGCCATTTCATGAAATAATTGGCAAAAAGCTTGATCCATTTGATGAGAAGAACTAATATTTTGACTCAAACCAAAAAAAAAAGAAAAGTATTTTAAGTTCTTAATCAGATGATACAGGCAATTAAAAACATGGGACAAATGCGTCCCTTGGTCCTCAAAGGGTTATGCAGGCCATACATGGGTCGAATTATGAACAAATTTTCTTTAGAAAATCAGAAATGTTGTACATTTTGTAATCCGATGGCACCACCATTAATTTCTAAATTCGACCAACCAAGCCTTTCATGTCACCTCATGTTGCTACAGAAAAGAATTTTCCTGGCCAAGAATTTTCTTTTCTTTCTAGGTCACAGCTCTAGGTCTTTTTCGATTACATTATGCACACGATTCTCCCATCATTGATTAGAAATTAATTTTTTCCAAAAATTTCCAACATGTCCGATCACTCAAATTTGATGGTCGCTCGAAAATTGGCTGTTGCTGTGGCCCATTCTTAGAAAAGACTTTTGAAAGAAAAAATTTCGGATTCGATCCATGTATGGCCGGCTTTACTCAGAGACAAATAAAGGGGTCAGTTATGCAGGCCCAGGGGCGGATTGACCATTCGAGCTCTCCGAGGGCCCAGGGTCAGTAGGGGGTCCCATGAGATGCCCCTGGTACCTTTCATTGGCTTTTTCATAGGCTTTTTTGGGTGTGGGTGATGACACAGGGGCCCCATGATCCCCTATTGCCCGGGGGCCCCATGAGTTGTCAGTCCGCCCCTGTGCAGGCCATACATTGGTCGAATTCCGAATTAATTTTCTTTAGAAAATAGGAAATTTAGTGCGTTTTGTAATCCGATGGCACCACCATTGATTTTGAAATTCAACCAACCAAGCCTTTAATTTCACCTTGTGTTGCTACAGAAAAGAATTTTCCTGGCCAAGAATTTCCTTTTCTTTCCAGGTCACAGCTAGTGCTCATTTCTTTTTCAATTACATTTCTCGCACAACTCTCCCATCATTTATTAGAAATTTGTTTGTTTTTTGAGAAATTTCCAACATGCCCGATCACTCAAATTTAATAATTGCTCAAAAATTGGCTGTTGCTGTGGCCCTGCTAATGGTGCGAAATTTGAACGAAAATTGTTAGAAAAGGAAATTCATTCCGAATTGGACCCATGGCCTGCATTAGTCTCTATCAAAATTTTTTAGAAAAAGTTTTGACAATAGATACATGTTGGGGGTCCATTCGCACTAAATTTCGGAATTCGACCCGTGTATGGCTAAAGCTAGCCATACACGGGTCAAATTCCGAAAGAATTTTTCTTTTGAAAATCTTTTCTAAGAATGTTTGTATGAAATTCGCACCATTAGTGGGCCATAGAAACACCTGATTTTTCGTGCGACCATTGAATTTGAGTGATCGGGCATGTTGGAAATCTTTTGATAAACAAACAAATTTTTAATCAATGATGGGAGAATCGTGTGAGAACTATCATCGAAAAAGAAACAAGCACGAGCTGTGACCTGGAAAGAAAAGAAAATTCTTAGCTACGAAAATTCTTTTCTGTAGCAACATGTAAAATTGATAGCTTGGTTGGTCGAATTTTTAATTAATGGTGGTACCATTTATAAACAAAACGCTCACAATTTTCTATTTGCTAATGAAAATTTGTTCGGAATTCGACCCATGTATGGATTGCATAAGTTCACACCTATGCAGTTTGCGTTTCGTCCATTTCTGCAGTGCTTTTTGCGGTGCGTTTTTGCACGTTTTTTTTTTTTTACTTGTTGCTGGGCAGATTAAAACGCTAAACGCATCAAAAAGGCACTGCATGCTTTTCTGCAGCGTCTCCATTGAAGTCTATAGAACCAAAAAGGCAATATTTTGCATTAAAAAAGTCCCTGAGCCTAGATTCACATTTGTGCGGTGCGGCATTTCGTATGTGATTCGCACCACACTGCATTCCTGTGCAAATCACATGCAAATTCTGTGTGGTGCGATTTGAGCCATGCATCTTGTATGGCCCAAAACTGCACTGCATCTGCACCAAAAAGGTGCAGGACCCTTTTTTTGGTCCGCACTGGAATCAGATCGCATGGGTATTCACACCTATGCGATTCCATTCTGCACATTGCACTGCGTTTTGCGGACTGATTTCGGAATGTTGTTAACTTAACATACACACCGGCAGCGGTTTGCATGAACGGGGTGCGATTGTGATGCGGTGTGGAATTCGCACAGAAATCGCTGCAAATTCTGCACCGCATCAGTGTGAACCCAGGCTCACCCTTTCCAAAAAATGCACTGGGTGAAAACGCAGAGATGTGAACCTGTCCCATAGGAAATCATGTTAAATGGACTGCTGTGTTTCTGTAAAGCACAAAACGCAGCGGAAAACGCATAGGTGTGAAGGTAGACTTAAAGGGATATTCCAGTGTAGCCCCACTGCACCTCGACAACAAAATGCCTTGTCTCTGGTACTGCCGGGTTCACACCACTGCGGTGCGGTGGTGTGCACTAAAAAAAAAGTACTGTGCGCCGTACTTTTTTCCAGCTCAGTGCGGGTTGCCGCTCGCCTGCCGATAGAACTCTATGAATTGCCACTGTGTGACATTTCAATAAAGTTCTTTAAAACAGAAAAAAAAAGTAAACCGTTCAATGTGCCATTGTCAGTATCAACACTGTGAGAAGGCACTGCACACTAATGCAGCACTTGGTGGGAATGAGCCCTAGTCCTATCCTGAATGTACGTTCTATATCATGTGATATGCCAAAACCGATTCCACAATTCTGCACGTCTCTTTGTCTAAGTCACCCACATTTCACCATTTCCTCCCACACTGAGCGTTCCCGGGGGGTTTTCCCCTTTGGAGTGGATCTTCCATCCAGCCTGACGAATACACTGTAATTATAGGAGAAGCGTTGGAGGTGAGACATTATTTCAGTGATACCGAAGGAAGAACATCAACAAGACAGAACTTGACTAATCCCATGTTACTATACATTGTACTGTCCTGCTATGGCAACCACACGATTTGTATTCTGGAACGCTGCAAACCCGGCAATGTCACTAATACAGGGAATGGAAATCCAGGTGTAGGCTGCCGCTGAAGGCTGTAATTATGTTTTCACACTGTAACATAACACATGGATTGCAGAGAGAAAAATGATGCATAACAATGGTTATAAATATTCAAAAATAATGCCAAATATTTTATAATACTTCACAATGAAGAGACATTAAAGTGACAATGAGGCTCCATGCACACTGGCCGTTTTACCCACTCGCCCTCAGAGGATTTACCCCCCCCCCCTTCCTGACCAGGCTATTTTTTTGTGTTACGGTGCTGCGTTACTTTAACTGACAATTGCGCGGTCATGCAACGCTACAACCAAATGACATTTACCATTTACGTCCTTTTTTTCCCACAAATAGAGATTTCTTTTGGTAGTGTTTGATCACCTGTGCGGTTTTTTTTTTGCGCTATAAAAACATAGACCAACAATTTTGAGAAAAAAACAATATTTTTTACCTTTTGCTATTAAACATGTCCAGTAAAAAAATGTAAAAAATCTAATTTTGTCATAAATTTGGGCCAAAATGTATTCTGCTACATGTCTT